GAAGACCTGTGAAAGCCGCCCTCAGCGGCTGAAACTACACAGTCTCATGTGGGGGTACAGCTGCGGTACAATAACACCATACTAATTAGCACAATGTGATATTACTGTTAACCACCACTTGTGCTATTTAAGGTAGAGCGACTTTGTTTAACCCTGGCTAGGTGCTGAGGAAGTATGGCGGGTAGATTCATCTGAATATGGCATTAATTCACACCCCTGCTGGGATTCTGCATCGAGCAAGATTTTGCTCACCCCTTTTTGCACAACAGATTTCATTTAGTGACATTACGAGCGCACTGAAAGGGATTAAAAGGCATCCCGAGTCTTCTCACCACACATCACTCCACCCCCTCCTCAGTCCACTGTCATAAAATGAGGATACGTATCCATCCGCTTGGTTAAATAAGGGTAACACAATAAATAGCTGCATGCCTCCTGTCCAGTGCTACATATGGGGGAAAGATGCTGATGTCCTACCTGGAGGGCATAACGCTCCACAGCCCATGTCTGTCTGTCTCCGTCCCCCAGTCACAAGCATCCTCTCCTGGCTAGCAGGACCAGCTCTGTCCCCTGCGTCTCATTCTCCACAGGCTGAGCTCTCTAATACCTTTAATACACCGACTGACCCCAAGATAAATATTAAAATTGTTTGATTTTTCACAGAGGATATAAAATTACCTGTCCTGATTCATGTATTGTATTTGCTCCATACTCAGTGTACACAGTTCTGCAGAGCCCTCGCTAATGCTCTGAAACCTCCTGACCTTCTCCTCTCTTTTCAAACCACCTCGTCCACATCACATAGCTCTCCTTCCCTTCCTTCACATCCCCTCCAACCTGTTCCCTTTCTTCCTCTCATCCAGTCATTACTCCCGTTCCAGTCGGCGGCCCCTCTCTCTCCCCGGCACATGCAGTGACAGCCATAAATGTCACATGGACCTAAATTTATTCACTGATCAGTACGAGAGCGACCAGCCCACGTTTTCCATCAAATCATAGAACACACTGCAGACGTCCTACACACTGCTCTGTGCATATATACTCTGTGTGTGTGTGTGTGTGTGTAGGGGACATGAGCCCGTATTGATATAATGAGATTGCATGCATGTCCTATGGGCAAAGCAAACATAAAACGGGGCTCAGCTGTGCAACAGTATCCTGACTGACAGAAAGTAATCATCCGACTGAAGGGGACCTTTCTCATTCCATGATAAAACCTGGCCTTCAACAATGAATGTCATCTGTGGAGCCTGTTGTATTTCCAGTGCAAGCCGGCATGGTAATAAACTGAATTGAGCATTTAAAAGAAGCCTTTTGGAAGACATTTATTTAAAGCACGTTCCTGGTAGTTAAAATAGAGCGGGGTTAAAGAACTATTACAGAGGAAGATGAAGCGGGCAGAGGTGTCTATGAGAAGTCGAGTGAATCGCTATGAGCTCCACAGCTGCTATTCTGTACCTGATCCTGACCTCTGACCATGTGGAGCAAAGCGAGTAAGACCGAGTGCATTACAGATAACTGCTGGTCAATCAAATGATCAGTGTCTTCACCAGC